TCCTTTAGAGTGCAGGCATTGTACTTCCCATTTCCAGGACTCAAGTGGGGCTATATAAAAATAACCGGTTTCCTTGAATCCCTTCACTAAATATTACCCTGCTCACACTCCAACAGATTGTCAGGTCCCAAATACCATTCGTCTCCATTCACTCCTATCGAAGAAGCTCACACACGCCTGCTGGAAGTCCAAGCCCCTCGTCCACAAAACCTCCCTTACCCCTTCCTTCCAACCTTTTCGAGGACGACCCATACCCTGCCTTCCTTTCCCTACAGATTTAAACGCTCTCCATGTCATTCTACTTTGATCCATTCTCTCTAAATGACCAAACCACCTCAACAACCCCTCTTCAGCCCTCTGACTAATACTTTTATTAACTCCACACCTTCTCCTAATTTCCACACTCCGAATTTTCTGCATAATATTTACACCACACATTGCCCTTAGACAGGACATCTCTACTGCCTCCAACCTCCTCCTCGCTGCTGCATTCACAACCCAAGCTTCACACCCATATAAGAGTGTTACTACTATACTCTCATACATTCCCTTCTTTGCCTCCATAGATAACATTTTTTGTCTCCACATATACCTCAACACACCACTTGCCTTTTTTCCCTCTTCAATTCTATGATTAACCTCATCCTTCATAAATCCATCTTCTGACAGTCAACTCCAAAGTATCTGAAATCATTCACTTCTTTCATACTCCTCCTCTCCAATTTGATATCCAATTTTTCTTTATCTAAATCATTTGATACCTTCATCACCTTACTCTTTTCTATGTTCACTTTCAACTTTCTACCTTTACACACACTCCCAAACTCATCCACTAACCTTTGCAATTTTTCTTTAGAATCTCCCATAAGCACAGTATCATCAGCAAAAAGCAACTGTGTCAATTCCCATTTTGTATTTGATTCTACCAATTATGTATAGGAATTAAAGGAAGGCTGGAAGAAAAGGGACAGAATTGGATGAAAACAAGTTTTGTTTGACAGCATATTGCTGTCTCAATTACATGAAGTAAATGAGGTGCTTTTTAACAATAGCTCAGAATCAACTGGCAGACAGGGGATCTTTTGATGCTTCAGGCAGGGAGTTCCAGATCTTAGGACCTTTTATACACATCAAGTTTTTACACAGGTGAGTCGGATGCAGAGGATGTCAAAGAGGTTTTTGTGCCTTGCGTTATGCCTGCGAGTTCTGTTGTAGCTATCAAGGAAGAGTATCAGAGAAGGATTTACACTGGCAATGACTGTCCTATATATATAGTAGACACAAAAGTATGAGTGCATTTTGTGTAAATTAAGCAAGTTTAATCTTTTGAAGAATGGAAAAAGTGTGTTGTCTGGCACTGGAATGGATGATAGTTTGCACAGCGGTTTTGTGTTGTGTTATTATTGGTTTTAGGTGATTTGATCTAGTAGATTCCAAGGCACAAATACTGCTCTATGAGGTAAGGAAATACTAGAGAGTAGTAAAATGTAAGTAGTGCTGTTTGAGGTACACAGTAACATATCTTGGAGAGGATGCCTACTGTTTGGAGATCTTAGGTACAGTATAAATGCTGGATGTGGATAGTAAACTTCAAGTTGCAGTGAAGGTGAGGTGGAAACCTAATTATTTTCGATAGGTTTGTCTTACAATGGGAGAACCATTCACCAATATATTTAGTTGGACATTTTTAACTTTGTTTCCAAACATCATATAGAATGTTAGGTCAATATTAAGAATTAGTTTGTTGGTAGTCATCCAATAATATATTTTTAGGAGCTCCTCAATAACAATACAGTGGTCCCTCGTTGTTCGTAATTAATCCGTTCCAAGAGCCGTTACTATAAACGAAATTTACGATTTACGAATCAATTTTCCCCATAAGAAATAATGTAAATACAATTAATCCGTTCCTGACACCCAGAAGTATTAAAACAAAAAATTTTTTAACATGAAATATGCATGTAGTACATAAACAATACAATGGGAAATGATGAATGAAACATTAACAGCATAACACTTACCTTTATTGGAGATTCTTCTTAGTGTATGGGAGACTGGAGGAGGAGTGAGAGTGGATTGTTTATAGTTTGGAAGGGGAATCCCCTTCCATCAACACCTCAGGTACCATTTGCTTTCCTGGGGTTGCTTCTCTTCTCTGTTTCTTAATGCCACTAGGACCACCTTGAGTCACTGGAGTCCTGTCTCACAAAATAACTGTGGAGAGAGCTCTGTTTCTGGCATCTCTTTAACATTCCCTAAAATGGCCAAGACTTTGTCACTGTACATGTTGCCAACCTGGCTTGCAACAACCTTGTTAGGGTGATGTTTCTCCATAAAGTTTTCCATCTTACTCCACATAATAAAAATCATATTAATTTCTGAAGAAGGCACCTTCTTCCATTTCTCTTCCTCCTCCTCTGCAGCAAGATTCTGAGCTGCGATGTGTTGCTCTTCCTGCTGAAGCTCTTGCAGCCCTCAGTGGTGAGCTCTTCATTGTGGT